CCATATCACCCCATTAGAGCACTTCGCTCTCACACTGCAGGTTTACTTGTTGTTCCTAGAGTGTTTAAAACTAGAATAGGAGGCAGAGTCTTCAGCTCTCAGGTCCCTCTTCTGTGGAACCAGCTCCCAGCTTGGACTTTGGAGACAGACACCCTTTCTGCTTTTAAGATTAGGCTTAAAACTTTACTTTTTTTTTTATAAAGCATATAGTTAGGGCTGGATCAGGGGACTCTAAATCCTCCCTTAGATACACTCCAATAGGTCTAGGCTGCTGGGGATTCCCATGATGCATTGAGTGTTTTTCATTTGCCTTTTTCTCTCACCTCTCTGCATTCAATTATTGCTTATTTTTAATCTCTGGCTCTCTTCATGCTGTTCTTGTGAGGTCAGTCAGTGAGAAATAGTCAACACAAACTAATTTTCTCGACATTGAAAGTCGAGAAAATTAGTTTATTAATGAGCTTAAGTAACTAGTCGATCTGTTGTATGTTCAGAAAGAGCCAGGCTAGCTGTTCCACATTTCCTGTCTCTGTTTAAATCCTCAAGAGTCAAATTTTCACCCTGAAGCTGTCTTCTTAAGAGAAGGCCTCACAGGGTCCTTTCTGCTCTCTTTTGTGTCCAAACCACATGGATCAGAAACCTGCCAATACTCAGTTTTATGGTCACTGACAAAGGTCACCGAGGGTTGTGGATTCTTTAGAGCCCTTCTGAGTAAAGTGACGTTCATCCCTATCTCTGGAGAGGCCTGAGTGTCCTGGAGGGGCCCTGATCCGATCAGCGTCCCCGGCTGTGACGCGTGGCCTCGGGGGTCACGCTCTGCCGGGCTCACGCGTTTACCTTGAGCTGGAGATGGGCCGGTTTGATATACAACAAGCCGACAGCTCATGAATCACAAAGAAGTGAGGAACCATCATGGGCCAGGATGAAACCAGGGACACGCTACAGAGCTGTGAACCCCGAGGGCCCAAATTATGAATATCTCAATATGCTTTTCTATGTGAGTCTGAGGACAGAACCACACTGTACCAATGTGAAATTAGAACACTGTAGTAGTAAAAATACTCAGTGTCCTCCAAAGGGTCTAACAGCTAAATACTGATTGCTGAATTATTCAATGAATTGCTGAATCAGCAGCTGGTTAACATGATATTTTGGGTTGTTTCTAGAGTTGATGTCTTATTTTAGTTGGACGTAGCCTGTAAAGAAAATGTTTCAAGGATGTGTGCCTTTATTATAGAAGTTTACTTTTTAATTTAAAAACTTAGCTGTAGTTTTTCTAGTGTCACTACTTATAAAAGGTATTTGTGGCTAAACATCAGTTAGCCAGTTTTTACTATTTCTCTCAGGTATAAACCAACAAGGGTAAAATTAGTAGATAAAAATTGTAAAATATGTAGATTCATATTTTATGAATTCTACACTTCTACAGATTTAGCGGCTGAACGGTAGAAGCCCCGCCCATTTACATTATGACGCTTTTCCCTGCCTTTGTGTTTAATTTGAGATATCATCTATG